ATAGCAGGTGATGATCTGGGAAGCTGTTTCTGTTTCTTCCAGAGATTGGGAAACAGCAGAAGAACCCTTTGGAAGGGGTGATGGGTTTTAAGGGGGGGAGGTGAAGAAATGGGTGATTTTAAGTTGGGGAAGTTGTGCAAAATTGTGATTCTTTTAAAATTCTGTCAAGTTCTGTCAAGGTTCTTGTTGGCAATTTAAAATAAAAACATTTTAAGTGTTCTGACTCACAAGAAAAGCAGTCCCAGTAAGTGCTGTCCACCTTGCCTTCATTTATTTTTTGTCACTTGGAATGAAAGTGGTGACAAATGCCAGCTGTGATTGTTTCTGGTTTGGCAGCAGTGGTTTTTTTGCAGGGTTTGTGGGCCAGAGCACTACAATTTTACAGGTAAATGCCATAATTGGGCCCCATTACCCCAAGCTCCTTTAATTGCCAGTGGGTGAAAGCCTCACAGAGCCTGGTGCTCCTGCTCTTCCTTGGGGCTCACCCTTGTCTGTCCTGGGCGGGGATGAGCTCCAGGTGCTCCTGCTCCCAGGAGGGACATTGTTATCCCAGCCCGGGGGGGAATCCAGTAGCCCAGCCTTTCTGGAAAGGACCAGGTGGGATTGGAAGGTCATGGTTGTGATTTCAAACATCCCCAGGCCACAAGTACTGGGGGGGGACCATGAGAAGGGGGTTTGTGTGTAGGGTGGGTGCAGCCAATGTGAGACAGAGCTCTGAGATCCCATACCCCAGAGAGCTGAAATCCTGTATCCTCCTGGGCATGTCCTGCACGTGCCCCTGCCTGGGAAGGGCAGGAAGGCCATGGCTGTGGTGTTCCTGCAGTACTTTGGGAATGCAGGGTGTAAATCCCAGGGTGACCCTCCTCCAGCACAAGGAATGTTTAAAATCCTGATATCTGTCACTGGGCTCTTGACTCCCTCTGGGTGTTTTGTATTTATCACAGAGTATTTTTAAAGTGTGTCCCAGGGCACCTCCAGCGTGACAGAGGGAGAAGTTTGATGTGACATATTCCTGTGTTAGATCTTCAGTCTCCTGTGCTGGGCAGGATGTGCATCACTGGAGTTTTCCCCCCATTCCCTGGAGACTGGATGTGTCCCTTGGCAGGAGCTGATGGAATGCAGAGTCACACCAATACTGGTTTTAGTTGGAAGGGACCTTAAAGCCCACCCAGTTTCACCCCCTGCCACAGGCAGGGACACCTTCCACCAGCCCAGGTTGCTCCAAGCCCCCTCCAACCTGGCCTTGGACACTTCCAGGGATCCAGGGGCAGCCACAGCTTCTCTGGGCAACCTGTGCCAGGGCCTCCCCACCCTCACAGGGAAATTTCTTCCTAATATCTAATCTAAATCTCTCCTCTTTTAGTTTAAAACCATTCCCCTCCTTGTCCTGTCAGTGTCTGTCTGTGTAAAAAGTCCCTCTCCCTCTTTCATTATCCCCCTCTAGGCACTGGAAGGGGATCTAAGGTCTCTCTAGAGCTTCTCTTCTCCAGGTTGAACAGCCCCAGCTCTCCCTTCTCGTTTATTGGGAGCATAAACTCTCCTTGGCTTTTCCATTCTGACCTGTGTCCTTTGCCAAGTCCTGTTCCATCTGTGCCTTGGCTTTTCTGCTCCTGCTGTAGAGATTCCATCCTGGCCCAGGGCAGCAGAGACAACCAAGGTCTCTGACAATATCCCTGACAATATCCCTGCCCTATATTTTGGGATTCTGGTACCATTTCCATTCCCAGTGGGCTGTAGTTTCTCCTGCCCATTTCCAGAACCTTGGTATGACTTATTGTTCTTCTCTGATCCCGCCACTGGTTTATTCCCCCCTCCCCCTCCTTTGCTCTTGGCCTTGCACCTCTAAGAGGAGGCACAGAAATAACCAAGAGTTGTGGAACAGGAGCCCAACGATGCCTGGAGGAGGAGGAACAGCTCAATGCCAGGAATCCCTCGGGATGCCAGGAATCCCTCGGGACTGCAGCACCTGGAGCCGGTGAGTGCAGAGAGCTGAGGGGCTGGGGAGGGAAAGGCTTCTCACCCCGCAAGTTTGGGAGACAAGAGCAGGGCAGGAGCACCCTCTGCAGAGACTGGGAAACCACGACACCCTCAGGCTCACGGTGTGACTCTTGGGGTGGCCTGTGCAGGGCCGAGGGTTGGACTCGGCGATCCTTGTGGGTCCCTCCCAATTCAGCATATCCTGGGATTCTGTGACACCTCCACCTGTGGGTTCTGTTATGGACCAGGGGAGACATTTCTCTCCCCGAGCTGAGACACCCAGCGTTGTTATTCTAGTCTTGGGTTGTGTTTTGCACTAAAGGACGTTTTTTAAACACACCCCCCCCCTTGTACTCGGACATTCCGGGGTTAACGTGAGGAATCAGTGTAAGGGGAGAGGCACAGAGCAGGCTTTGCTTCCCGGCCAACTCCAAACATCCTCCGGTGCTTATCTCCACTATCTTCCTTCTAAATTCATTCTGTCCCACCCAACTATCATCTTTATCACCCATTATCTCCCTCTCCATTCTATACCGTACCCCCATTTCACGCTTTTTAACTGCTCAAATATTCACCCGATTGGTTTCTTTGTTTCAAAAGCTTTTCCCGCTCAGGTTTAATTGTCTTGATTTAACCCCACCCAGAACATCCCACAACCATTCCCTCCCTGCCCCGGCAGGGATGGGGGGGAACGAAGGGGACAAAAGGAAAACTTGTGGGTCGAGATAAGGACTCGTTAATTAAATTTAATAATTAAAACTATTATTATTACTATTATTATTATTTTTAAAAAGCAAAGGGACAGAGGAGTAAAACCCAAGAGAAACAGGGATCGAAGCCATTCAGGGGCCCCAGAAGGGACATGGTGCAGACCCGTCCCATCTCTGCACCCCCTTCAGACCTACAGCACTGACGACTTCCTGCATTCTTTGCTGGATATTTTCTTATTTAGTAAGTGTTTTGTAGCTCTGGGGGACTGGAATTATTTCAAAACAGAAATAATTAGCAAGAGGAAGATAATCCAACCCCTTGATCTCACATTTGAAATCCACAATCTCTTTTATCAACAGCCCCATTTTGCCCTCCAGGTTCTTCCTTCACTGCTCTTAACCAGAACCCAGAGAAGGGGCAGCAGGACAGGGGGTCTCCCAGCCCCCAACCTGCATCATCACCCCATCCCTGGGGGCCTTTGGCTCCTTTTGCTACCAAAGAATTCCTACAAGCCCCTCCCAACCCTCCCTGGCTTTGACCCCGGAGCAGCACCGATCCCACTCCAAGCTGGCCAATCCTGCTTCCACCTTCTGGGAACTTCCCTTCTCCTTGAGCTGGGACAGGGCTCCTGACAGCCCCAAACTGGTCCTGCTGGTTTATCTGGGCCCCAATGTGCTGGTCAAGGTAAAAAACCTTCATCGTGGCTGAAAAAAAAATCTTTATTCACAGAATATCACATGAATCACATCATGTCCCACCCCCACTCCTTTGTGTATAAAATACTGGTTAAAAGGTTTTTTTTCCAGAGGCAAGTGAATTCCCAGAGTGTCCCCTCGTAGGAGAGCAGCTCATCCCAGAGCTGGAACTTGTGGGAAGCAGAAGTGAGGTCTTCAGGAAGGAAGAACACATCCCAGAGCTGCAACAGCAACACAAGCAAAGCCAGCAGAGCTCCAGGTCCGGCTCATTCCCCATCCCATGGACCCCGATCCCACCCCATCCCACTGCAGTGGAGGCTTTCTGGGGTTTTACACAACACCCCTGAGAGCACTTGGGTTTCCAAGTCCACCTTGGACTTCCTGTGCAGTACAACCATGTTTGAAGTCATGTGTCCTCAAATCCAGGTTCCCAGGGGGTTCCTCCAAGCCCCTCATCCACCTCTGGATGCAGGGGACAGCAAGGACACTTGGCTCCCCATGGGGAAATCAGCCTGTGCAGGGACAAGGAGACTCCAGGAGGCAAAACAAATTAACAAGGAAACATCTACTGAAATGCCAAACTGGGCTCAGAAACAGAAAAAAAATCCAGTTCCAAATATTTTATGGCTCCCACCACAGCCCAAAAGGAAAGAGATTGGCCAGAGACCCACCTTTGTGTGAGACAAACCCTCCTACAGCAGGTCACAGCCACAGAAACTTTAAACAATGACAACCCCAATCTCTGAACCCCAATCTGTAAAATCAAATGGAATTGGAGCAGTTCATGGGAGACAGAAAGAGATTTCAGGGACCCCTCACAAGTGCCCAGCTGCCCTGCCAAGTGACCTCCCAAGGGCACCACAGGAGGAATCCATCAGATTTCATACTCAGAATAAATCTAAGCTCAATTTGGATTTAAGGTTTAAATTGCAGAGCAAGACAGATGCTCTGTCACTGCCACAATTCCTCTTTTCCTTTTAATCCCCTCCTCCCTTGGGCTCAAATGAAAACCAATTCCATGCCTGCTCTGCCAAAGTGTTTCCTTGGAAAGCCTGGACAAAGAGGGAACACAGAGCAGGACACACCTCAGAGGCATCAAGCCCATGGAGAAGCCCATGGGCTGGGGCAGCTGATCTGCTCTGGGAGCTCTTCTGGGCACAGCAGCCCAGCACAGCCCCAGGCTCACTGAAATTCATTTTTGGAGTTATTTAAACAGTTTCTCCCAGTTTGCAACGGGCTACATGATAAAAGCAAAGAGAGAATGCAAACTTGTGATCTGTCACTAATCCAGAGACCCACAACCATTCCAGACAGAAAACAAGGAACTGCCAGCACAAGGCCACATCATCTGGATATGACACCTCTGTGCTGCTGCCAGACATCAGGGAATGCTCCAGGCACGTTGGGATGGGAATGGACCTGAGGGGTGATCGAAATGGATGCTGCCCACAATCCCAGGATGGCCCCTCTGACAGAACCCCCAGGCTGCAGAGAAAGCAGGGCTGGATTGGAAAGAGGCATCTCCCAGCTCGGGGTTGACCTGTGACAGGGAACTCCCCTGAGCACACGTGTCCCAGCCAAGTGTCTGTGCCAGTAACTCCACGGGTGCAAGGTAACCTGGAGCACACCCTGCCCAAGGATGGGGGATGTGACCATCCCAAGGCACAGAGCTTGAGGAACCACAGCTGCCTGTGACAGGCCTGTTGAGCTCATCCCACTGTCCCCATGATGTAAAGAGCAGCAGGGAGCCTGTCCCAGCTCCACGAACAATCCCACACCTCCGTGGAGCACAGGGGGACTCACCTGCTCCATCAACCCCAAAGTACCAACTCCAGAACCCAAGCAGCACCTCAGGAGCACAGCCCACCCACGGGGACGTGCACCAGCATCAGGAATGTCCCCCAGTTTTGGAGGCTGGACTTGGTAGGAGGCCCAGGGATGTGCACCTGCCTGGAGGAGGCAGGAGCACAGCACTGACCTTCCCCTGGGAGCAGAGGGGCAGAGAGAGGTACCAAACACCCTCAGGTGAGCTGAGCAGCACTGCAGCCTCAGCCAGGAGATCTGTGCTGTTTGATGCTGTGTGTAGAGTTAACTCAGGTTTAACTGTGCCCTAAGACCTCTCCCCACAAACCCTCCACCTCTTCCAGCAAATGGTGGATCTGCAGATGGAAACCCTTCACTCCCCAAGTCTTTCTGCACACTCAGTCCACAGGCCCAGGGCCACAAACCCTGGGAAGTCTCTGTGCCCTTCATGCACTGCCAAGTGCAGTTCCAGGGTCAGCTCTGGCCAGCACAGGAGAGATTCACTGCAGCTTCCACTCTGCACCCTCCTGTCCCTGTGCCTCCAAAGGGACGTTCCTGCCTTGCCTTGCTGGGCACAATATTCACTTCTGCTTCTTCTGAACCAGATCCTCAAACCTGCAGACATGAGGTGAGAGCAGTAAAGGCCAGGGGGTGTTTTTACAGGGCCATTTTCAATTACAGTGTCCCCAGACACATCCAGTTCCCAACATGCTTTCCACATGACACGTGTCCAGGTGGGATTTGTAAACTCTGAAGTCCATGGGAAGGGCTCATCCAAAGCAGCACCCAGAGGGAAGTCCAGTCCACGTTGCTCCAAAGGACTGTGTCTCTGGCAGTGGCTCAGCAGCTCATGTGAGGTACTGCACCACGAGGAACATGATGACACAGGTCACTGCCATCCCCCCCAGCATCAGGAACTTGTCCTGGAAGGCGCGTTTCTCGATGAGCCTCATCACCGTGTTGGACAAGCCCAGCATGTTGGCAACATCCAGGATCTTCTTGTGGGTACCCTGAGAGCAAAAACACACCAAACACACCATTAACCTCCTGGTCTGACACTTATTCCACAGCCCAAGAATGTTTCATCCTGGGTGGTGAGGGATGGATTCTGACCATGGAACCATCTGACAGGGGGAGGCCACAGAATCCTGGAAATAGCTGCAGGTTGGGACTAATTAATTCACACACATGAACAAAGATGTGGTTAAAGACACAAAACAATCTGTCTGGACAAACACACAATAAAAAGTGTCTCAAGAAAAATGTACTCTCTAGGGAGGAGTAAGAGTTCCAGACGGGGTCTAAAAGGAGCTTGCAGCCTGTGTGCTCCCAGGGGGAACTGCCTTGTCACACCAGGACAAGGGACCCGTCCCTCACAGTGGCTCTGGGTCATCCTTGGCAGAACAGCCCCTTCAGGAAGCTGTAACTGGTTTCACTTCTGAGCCAGGTCGGAAGCACAGATTCCCATCACAGTGCTCAACTCCATGCTTGGACTCTGAAATAAAAACTTCAGCTTCTCTTCCCACAGTCCACTGTATCTTTGGTCTCAGAAGAGTAAAAATGTGAAAATTTGGAATTGTTTTGAATACAAACCTGACTGAAGATCAGAAAAATCTCCCTGAGGACTTTTAGATCAACAATATCAGGCACACATGCACAAACAGCTTCTCAATCCATAGAACATACAGGTTTGCAATGAAAAATGACAGAGTTTCTTCTGTTCGGGGCTGTGCAGGTACTCGGGCCCTGCACTGAAATCAGGATGGTCCAGGAACACATCATCACATTTTCCCCCTGCATTTCCCACACCTCACATTAACCCCCTGCAGGCTGCTCTTGGGTTCAGCTCTTCCCTGTCCCTGCAGAATCTTTTCACACTGCTTCAGAAAATACCAAACCTTGCTGGGAGAAAACAAACCAAATATAAAGCTTTGAAATAAAGTAAAACAATAAAAAGTGAAAACTCCTCAATTCTTGCAGTCATGGAACAGTGGAATTGTATAATTAGAACAGTTAAAGTGATAATCTGGGAATACTTGGTCCATACCTGTCTATTTATACCAAATAAGCACAAAGTTTCAGAGAATACAGGTATTAGGGAGTGTCCAAAGGAGGGACATGAGGATAGGGAAGGGTCTGGAGGGCCCACACAACAAGTGGCTGAGGACACTTGGCTTGTTCAGCTGGAGAAGAGGAGAATGAGGGGGTCTGGAGGGGCAGCTCCAATCTCTGCTGTGTGAGCAGGGACAGGACCCAGGGAATGACTGGAGCTGTGCCAGGGCAGGGTCAGGTTGGATCTCAGGGAAAGGTTCTTCCCCCAGAGGCTAGTTGGGCACTGCCCAGGCTCCCCAGGGCAATGGGCACAGCCCCAAGGCTGCCAGAGCTCCAGGAGGGTTTGGACAACGCTCTGAGGGACAGGGGGGATTGTTGGGGTGTCTGTGCAGGGCCAGGGGTTGGACTGGATGACCCTTGGGGGTCCTTTCCCATTTAGGATAGTCCACGATTCCACATTAACCCATTTCCCTCTGTAATTGTCTCTTACAGCAGCTGCTTCTGCCAGATGTTATCAGGCAACAAAGTCCTGTCAGTGTATGAAAAGCTGGGTAAGGGGAAAATGAACATGAACAGATATTTCCTCACCTGTGAGGAAGAGGAAATATCCCCCTGAAAACACAAGGACACGATGGCCCCAAAGCACAGACCCTGGGCAGAGACCCCCACCAGTTCCCTGCTGCAGAGCTCCCCCAGGGCACAGCGGGCACAGGCTGCCAGGGGAGACAGGGCACAGCTCCCTGCAGGAGCCCCATGGGATCCCACAGCAGCAGAACCCCTTTCTACCCCCCAGTCCTGCCCCCAGACAACCCAGTGACAACATTCCTCTCCAATGAATGAACACCCCACCAAGTTTTCTTCCAGTTGTTCTAGTAATTGACTCTGTATAAAAACTAATCTCCATTCAGTGAACAAGTGACCTGATCCAAGAAGCCAAATCTCATCTTGGAAAGGACCTGGCCCCAAACTCTGCTTTAATGCCTGCAGGTGACATCTGTGGTGCAGGGACTGCTCACCAGACTAGGGAGCAGAAAAGGAGCTCCAGCCCTGCTTTATCCCCCCTGCTGGTCCTGTCCAGGGCTTTGGGAGAACCACGAACCTGGAATTCTGTGACCAGGACAGCAAAGTGCCCATGTGTGCAGCTCAGCTCCCTGTGTGTGAACTGCAGTGCAGGCCAGGCTGTCACTGCTTGTGACACCAGAGACATTTGATTCCTGACCAAAACAGGAATTCATGTCACTGAAAATGCCTAAATCCTCTGGCAGATACATCCCAAGACAGACAACAGCAGTTATCCCCATCAGAAGATGACTGCAACACACAAAAGGATTTCCCCACATTTTTCAGAAATTCAGTTTCTCTCCACACACATTAAAAAAGTTTTTCTATCTTTGAGCTGTTCATTCAAAATAAAACATCACTTTGAAGAGCCTTTAAGATAAAAGGCAAATATTTGCTCTTAAGAGACTTGCAGAAATACAGCTGAAATGAGCAGTGTTTGGGGAGGGAGGGATGTTGAGGTGCATTATCTTTATTCCTGAGGTACATTACCTTCATTACTGAGGAGCATTACCTCTATCACTAATCTCACACACAAGTGCTTTACAGCAGCTCTGAGTGATGTTCATCTGAACCAACACCTGCCAGCCAGTTCCTGCCCCTTCTGAACTGAACCAAAACCAACAACCAACCAAAGGATAACAAACATAAGGGGATAAAACACAACATTCAGCACTCCAGATACTGCCCTGCAGGGGAAGGTCAGCCAGGCCCAGAAAGACCTTAAAGATATTACTAAAAGGATGATAAAATGTAAAGATTTCAGGTTGTTTAAATGAAGTTTGGGCCTTTCTAGCACCCTCAGCTCGAAGTAATGCATGGATTGATTTTACAAAGGTTGGTCATCATAAACACAGAAAAATGTGGGGTCTTTGGTAAAAAACAATGCCCCACCTTTAAGGTGACTCTCTGGTCCCTCAGGCCCTGCAGGATGTTGGTGCCACTGCCAATAAGCTCATCCATGCCTCGGTGGGCACTCTGCAGGGACTCGTTATACTGCAGGGTTTCGTCGATCGGGATGGTGGTGGCAGAGTCCTGTGGGGAAAGGCAGGGACTTGGTTACCTGCTCACTCACACTGCCCACACCCAGCACACACCCCCCTGCAACACCCCAAGGGCTGGGGGGACTGGCTGCAAAACAGCTTTTCCATCAGGATATTTAACACAACACCAAGTGAAAACAATTTAGAGAAGACAGGGAGGAAGCCAAAGGGCAAAGCTGATCAGCTGCTCCACCACAATTCCATCTCGAGGAGAAGGGGATTAAAAGCAGAGAATTTTTATAATCTCAGTTTATGATAAAGAGATCCAAGCAGAGAATTTTTATCTCATTCTATGAATCTTTATGATCTCAGTTTATGATTTATGTAGGAAAGGGTTATTGCAAGACAGAACATTAAAGCTGCAGAAGGTGTTTAACAAGGAGTCATTTGATCATTGCAAGTGAAAGATTTGTGGAACATTTCCCACCATGTCTCTGAGCGACAAAAGGCCCGAAAAACACAATGTTTGGAGATGATATTCCAAGTACTTATGACATGGTGCAAATTGAGGGCGAACAGACATGGGCCTGGTTCCCTGAGCTCTGGCTCACTCATCACCCAGGGCCTCAGAGAAAAAAATAATTAAAAATTTACATTTTTCACATTTTTTCCAGAAAAGATGCATTTGCTCAACAAGGAACTAGGAATCTTGAAATGGAAATAATGGGATAAAGCTCTAATCTGGACTGCACAAGTGGGCAGAGGATGCGATCACTTGTTCCTGTCAAAGGCCCCCAGTCCAATCTTCTCTCTCTTCCAGAGAGCAAGGAAATGGCTCATCACTCCCACACTGGATTAGAGCAGGAATGGTGACACTGGTAGAGTGGGAACTCTGATCCCTGCTCCCAGGGACTCAGAACAAGAATGGCCCAGAGGCAGAATTCCTGTTTGGAGCATGTGCCTGTGAGCTGCAGGTCACACCCAGGGTACCCAGGGAATGTGCTCTGAGCAGAATCTCCAGTTCAAACCCCCGAGGTGGGTGTGAAGATGCCCTGCAGGATCCAGTGCAGGGGCTGCAGTGCCTGGGCTGACTGTGAGAGAAGGAGAGCCAAGGACAGTGCCAGAGCCAAGGACAGTGCCAGAGCCAAGGACAGTGCCAGAGCCATGAGGGCCTGGGGAAGAGGCTGTGCCAGGACACACACACTGACCCACTGCTCAGGAAGCACCAGGGCTGACACAAGTCTGTGAGCAGAAGCACTTGGATTGGCATTTAATGGCTCTTGTTCCATAGATTTAACAACCTTCAAATCAGCAGGGATTTCATTTCCTACACAAGGGGCTCTTTTCAGACACTATTAGGCAGCAATGAAAATGTGGGAGTGGATTTGTGACCCCCCTCCCAAGGAGATGAGATGGCACCAGCAGAGCTTTGATTTGCTCTTTGCGGTTTTCTCCAGAATGGTACAGGGCAGGCTTTGAAGACCACTTTAAACTCTGAATTAAGCCAGATGTTCAGAACAGCTTCCAAAAACTGTTCTGGATGTCACAGTGACTTCCTGAGGATGCCCCAACACTCAGTTGACATCACCATTTAATAGAATAGGGGAGTTATGAATATGAACTGTGTAACTTCTAACCAAAATAAGCCAACAACTGACAAATAAATCCTCATTTTCCTATTAAAATGTCACTTTAAAGTCACATTTTTGTAGCAAGGTAAAAAGAAATACAAAATAATCATGTGTTGTCCTTCCTTTGAGACACATTTCAAGATCTAAAGGAGGAAAAAACACCAGTTTGCTCTATATTTTGCATCTGTAAGCCAGATATTGCTCTTTAAAACTGTTTCTCTAACACACGCTTTAACAACAAATTTTCCTGTAGGAAAACTTGTCCCTATTTGTGGAGGAACACCAAAGTGTTTAAAAATAAATCAGGTTTCAAATCTCAGTGTTCCTTTCTAGCCTTGTTTAACATTTTGAAATAGCCAACAAAATACCAGACATTATCTTTCTGGCAGGCTGTCAGAAGTGCATGGAACTGCCCAAACCTCAAGCAAAGAGGATCCCCCACATTCATTCTTCCTGGCCCTAACAGTGACTGACAACACAGATAGTGAATGTTACGGAAGGTGCCTTTAACAAAAAAGGGAAGAAAAAACTTTAAAAAATAATAATGATTTAAAAAAAACCCAAAAAACCCACAAAACAAAACACAAAGAACCCCCAAACAAAACCAAGACTAACTTTTCAGCTGCAGAAAAGTGAAATCTGAAAGTGAACCTACATTACTCAGAGCGAAATTCCTCCAGGAATTTGCACCGGGGGGACTTCCCAGCAGAGGAACTAAGAATTAGCATGAACAGGTGGAACATGTTCATGTTATTACAAACTTTTGACTCATTTCTAGGCAAAAAGCAAGGCCTTTGTCCCAGCTGTGTGATCTGTATTTGGAAAAGTAGCAGTTTGCTGACATCTACTGTCAGCAGGGTGTATAAAGTCAGGCTTGTCACAGATTTCAGGATTTGACACAAATCCAAGTAAAATGTACCCTTTGGTACTTACCTCATTCACCCTTTTGCAACTGCCCTATAAAGCCAGGTGGAACTGCACTGGATAAAACAGGAGCAGCAGCTTCTGGAGTCTTTTCCTGCTGCCTCCTCAGAGCCATGTGAGAGCTGTACTTTATCCCTACATTGTTATCCTTCTCTGCCTTTACTGACACAGCAGCATTCAACAGCCCTGCCTGAAGCTGCTCTGCCAGCCTGCAGCTCCTGGAGCACAGAGAGGTGAACCACACGTGTTTCCACCGAGGTAAACACACATATTTACATTGGTGGTGAAGGTCCTGGCCAGCAGCTCCTCCCGCTGCCGCTCCTGCTGCTCCCGCAGGTACCGCCGGTGCTGGAAGTTCCTCAGGGCCGTCTGCAGGTGCTGCACATCGTACTTCAGCTGGTCCACCCTCCTGGAAAGGACCAACAGCAGGGTGAAAACACTGCTCTGCGCTGCTGGTTCTCACAAGGACAATGCAGCATTACCAGGTAACACAGACGGATGGGTTCTACTTCTCCAGAACGACGCAGGACATTCAATATCAGGCCAAAATTCCACACTTACGTCTTCCCTGCCTCGTTTTTCTACCAAATAGGTGATAATTTAACAAGTGATTATTTATTTTAATCAATTATTTAGCCTCCAGGCTAACAACAGAATGTGAAGCAGAATTCCTGAGCTGTCTCAAAGTATTTCTGACATTTAACAGCTTGCTTTGAGCAAAAAAGTGCAATAAATACACAGGAGAGCTAATGGGCAGTCTCAGTCATCCTATCCCATGACTAGTCTCTTCAGGAGTTACACATATCTATTTCTCATATAACACAGATTTGGAAAGATGGCAGGTTTTGTATTTTATGATCCTCATTCACACAAAAGATGAAGCTTTCAAGCTTCATTAATTAGAACCATGTTCTTAAGTTTGAATATTTATTAAAAGAAGCTTGAAAGTCAGTGGTCAAAACAGGAGACACCTCAGACATCTCCACTGGGCTGAAACAAATCCTGTCCAGAACTCCTGATTACATGTTTGATAATGTTTAATGTTTGATTACCATACTAGATAACTGATTACCTTGATTATCAGACTATCCTGGTCTGGTGGAAGGTGTCCCTGCCCATGGCAGGGAGTTAGAACAAGATGATCTTTAAGGTCCCTTCCAACCCAAATGAGATTCTATAAAGAAATTCATGACTACTTCACATACTGACCTCTATAACACATGAAATCCACCCCTACTGTCTACAAGGGTGTTTTGAGACATTAATAACTGAATCACAGAATTAATTAAGAACAGTGATTCCTGATGTCTGTGGTCCAACCTCCTGCTCAAACCAGTGCTCACTTTAGAAATCTCATTTTAGTCACCAACAGCCAGGACAATGGTCCAGAGAAAATGACACCAACTGAAGGAATGTTACTCCCTACACCCACAAATGCATTAAAACCAAATATCATATAAAGTGGAATTTTATTTAAGCCTCCAAGTGGATGTTCTGCTCATCTGAGAACAGATGAGCAGCTCCACCACCAGTCAGGACTTGAGGATCTTTGAGGTCTTTTCCAACCTTAATCATTCTGTGGTTAAATGCAGGAAAGCAATTTTGTCTCTGTGCCTCAACTCTGCTAGTGCAGAGCACAGGGTAAGTTATGCAGAGTATAAAAGTTTCATACAAATCAAAAGGCAAAGGACTTCAATAAATTTAATTAAAATAATTACAAAGACTCCCCTGCCCAATCAGAGCCAGGCAGGTGAACTCACAGCTTGGCATTCTGCCTCTTGTTGGGAGGTTCTTTGCTGGACAGGATTTCCAGGCGTTCCAAGTTGCTGAATATGTTGTCTATTCTTGCTTGGATCTCATTTTCCACTACTGCAAGGAAATAAAAACATCATTTGATTTGAATTGAAGAACTGCAATCTGATGAAGGGAAAAGCTCAAGAGCATTCAAAGCTGTATGTAAAACCTGAGAGATGCAAATCCTTACTGGATGAAACTCAGATAAGGAACTATAAATATCATGAAATGCCACTTCTTTAGCTCAGTAATTTGACACTCTCACCTTCCATCCCCCCGCAGAGAAGGGAGCTAGGAAAACCCCATTCAGCAGAACCCAGAAAAGCAAAGAGCACACATGACCCTTTTCTTTGCCCCTGGATCTCCCACAATTAAAGAGTAACAGACTCACATCTATACACTCAAATCAGATTGTCCTAATTCATCTCTCCATCATTTACTGCAGCTAAACTCAACAGTAGAGCACCCAGGAGAGCAGACAGACAGTTACAGCACCTTTTCTTAGACCAAACAACACTATTACAGGATTTTTTTTGAGCAAGGAGGGACTATTTGCTCAAAGTTGGAAAAGGCAAACTGCAAGTTTGATTTCCTGGCCCCTATTTGAACTCTTCAACCACAGATAATCCCTTTTCCTATAAATTCTGAAATACATACTAATATCCACAACACTATCTGTATCTTTATATATGTATAAATAATCAGTATGTTCATTTATTGACCATGTAAGATGTACATAATCCTATCTCTTGAAAAGGTCTCAAGCAGCAGAAGCAAGATAGGAAATCATATTCATTTTCAAAATCACACCCAGGGAACAGCAGTCTGGGAATTCTGGCAGTGTAGGCAGAGCAGTACAATCACCATGAAAACCAGAATCAGAATTTAAAATTGCTATTTTTGGCTAGGAAAGTAATCACAGCCCTTTTTAGTGCAAAGTCATACTTCACAAGAATATTTAGAGTAATAGAAGTCAATGGACATGTAATAAATGCATCCAGTCAGTGCAGTGTCCTTTCACTCAGGAGTTCCTGGTGAAGCCCATTATTAGTGACTCAAGCAGGAATTAAGGCTTTAAACACAGGTCCAAAATACATGGACCCATTCTGCACTGGGGTAAAAAGTCCTGCCACACATATCAGAGAATTTTATTATCAGAGTCATTTATGAGCACAGGGTTATAGTCCAGATTCATTGAGGCAATTTCAGACCTAATGGTTCTGCACATTTCCCACAAGCAGGTGGAATTACAGGTTCTGACTGATACAGCAGGAATTGTCAAAATCATCCTGCTTGAATTCCTGCACAGCAAATCCCAGCCTTTTCCCCAGAAGCAGCACTGAGCATCTTTAGGGGAAGGCTGTAGTTGGTGGATGCTGAGGGAATACCAACAGCAGAGCAGGCACAGCCACATCCCTCACTTTTTGGGTTCTAACAAACCAGCCCAGTAATGCTGTGGATGTGCAGCTCTGCCCACACCAAGGTGTTCATTAATTGCACCTGCACGAGGGCAGTGGTGGGGGCTTTTAACCCGGTTATGGTGCACAGCCTCCAAACACACCCTGACCACGAGTTCCAAAATCCAACAGCACCAAAACTCTGGAACTCCCACATCAGGACATTACAGAGGCACCCACAGTGAGCACTATTTGTCAGTTAAAGGATTTCAACAGGAGGATGATTTGAAGAAAATTCTTGTTCCGTCTTTTTCTGCTCTGTCCTTCTTACAAAACATCACCTTACTGAAGTTAAACACTAAAATTATTGTAATGTATTCCAAACTGGTGCTGTGTCTCCAGCTGATCACAATGACTCAAGAGCCAAATTTGACCCAATAATGATTGCAAATACAATGATAAAGCTCAGAGGCTAAGTCAGCTCAGTCCCTGGGTGGGACTCCCCTCACTAAGAGCTACTCACAGTGCACTGACTCCTTGTCTGAAGTCTCCAGGCGCCCCATGTAGGACTGCACCTCATGGACCTGCCTGTCAGGAGGCAAAGAGGAAATGCAGTCAGGGACAGCTACTAAATCATTTTTCAGTACCTCAGTTTTCAGCTTCCTTTATTGAAAAGTACTTTTCGGAACAGAGCGGGAATCAGCAACAGTGTTCAGTGCAGACAGCCCATCACTGACCACCAACACAGTTCCTCTCCACAAGCACTGCAGAGTAACTTCATTTAAGCACAGAAATCAAGGTGAAGATTATGAAAAGCACAAAACAGCTTTTCTACAAGAAACAGTTGTTCTGCCGGGAGGTGACAGTGGGGAGATACCTGAGAGCAGAATGGCACAGAAGGTGAATAAGGAATGGTTTTCACTGTCCTAAAACTCAGAGGCATCAAGTGAAATTAAAAGCTTAAAATTATAAGGAACTACTGCTGCTGGAGAAGCAGTGGCAAATGGAAACAAAGAAAAAATACTAATGGGTTGCCAAATTCTTCTGTTTCAAACCCCCAAGCCTCACATTTCTGGGAGACTGGGACAACATTACACCAAAATATTCCACATATTTGTCCATTTTTTACAGTGTTTCCCAGAGATCTGCAGTTGGGCAATGCTGAAATAGTCCTGACCAGAGGGACCTGCAGCCACACTTGGTGTGACCAGTCTCACAGCTGGTCACTATTCGACTTCAATAAAGGCACTTCGTTGATGGTTTTGATTAAACTTGATATTTACAAAAATATCATGACCTTTTTTAAAAAAAAATTTTAAGAGACCAGAATCTTGGTCATGTTAGTGGCTCTTTCATCTGATAACCAAAGCACAAATGTTTCTGAAGCCAGACTTTGGAAACCAACTTAAAAATCTGAGATTTTTAAATAACTCTCAGAGCTGCCTTCTGAACCCTGACTCTGTGCTGCTGAAGAGGGGATGTCCCAAGTACAGCATTGCTTGGAATTAACTACAGAACCAATTCAATACCCAGTACCCTGCAATCCCACACTTGTTCTATAGTTTCGTTTTCAATCAGTTCAATTATCACCCCACCTCCCTTAAAAGAGCTCCAGAAAGAAGCAAATTATCATAGAAATTTGGAATATTGGATTAAACATGTCCTTCATCCTCTTTCACACAGAATCAGAGAAAATTCTGAGTAGGAAGGGACCTGTGAGTTATTCCATATGGAGTAACAACGGAGCTGCAAGATTTTTTTGCCTCATTTTGCAATTTTCACACCCCTCCTCTCTCCACAGATGGGCATTATCCATGAAGTGTGGGATTAATCCTCAAGGAGCTTCCACAGGTGGTTCAAACTGCAGCAGCAGGACACCTCAAACCCTACTGCCCCAAAAACCAATATGAACGAGCACCCCTTAAATGAACACACATTAATTAACAGGGAATAAATAATAATTAATTGAGAGGTCCCCCGTGGCCCGGGCTGAGCCCTTCAGGGCTGACGTGGCAGCAGCTCCTGGGAACTTCGAAATGCTTGATCTTGTAGTATGGACTTGAATGCTTTACAGAATACAGACCTTTCCCAATTTCCCGACACCCCCACACCCCTCACACAGCTGTTGCTGGGCTGGTGCAGCCCTTCAGACCTGTCAGAGCCCTGCTTCCCCTCATGCACTCGCTGGTTGCTGGCACACCCCCACAGCCCTCACGCACTTCTTGTTGTGCCGGTACAGCCCCTCACACCCTCGTTGGTTTGCTGGTAGAGCCTCTCATCCCTCACGAACTTGCTCCTGTGCCGGTACAGCCCCTCCTGTTTCCCCTCACGCACTCGTTGGTGTGCTGGTACAGCCCCTCTCCCCCTCA